GAGGGATTCCGGGAATTGTGCTCCAAAAAGGGAACATTTCTGAAATCTGGAGAAAAAGAATTGGTATGCCCAAATGCCACACCCAAGGACATAAATGAATCTAAGTGAGAAAAGGAACACCTGCCATTGAAACAACTTGATAGACTGATAAATGAGGAATTTCTCCACTACGAAGGATAAACTGAGAATTGAGATATTTCTGGAGGGAAGGAAGAAACCGGACTGCCTGCCAGTGGAAGGTGGCACGAGAGAAGCAGAACTGGAAGCATGTTCTTCTGCTCAGTATACATCTTTTCTCTTCCGGCCGGGGAGGGTGGGGCCATCTTGGGTCATTCCCAAGGGCCAATTTTCTGCCCTGGAGTTCCTCCATGGGGTGCACAAACTGCCAACAAATGCTAACCCAAAGTGGAGGCAAAAGAAAGAAACGTATAGGGACTGTTTTAGTTTGTTAAACAATGCCAAAGGGGTGTGTGACCTCTCCAGAAGGCAAGTCACAGCTCAAAGGAAGTTGGGGGTGGAAGCTGCAAAAACGTCCTTCAAAACCACAACCCACCACAGGGCCTCTCTTTGCTCACCCCTGTTTTATAATCTGTATGCAGTGACATAGCGTCAGGGGCTACAGCTTGCAAAATTCTTAGGGATGCAATTTTTTAAAAAATTATATAACAAGCAAACAAACAACACATGCAAAACATACATGCAGGGAAGTGTTTACCATACTACAATATCTAATATGTAATCTTGACTGCATAACTGTGTTACAGTACTAAAATCTTTAACCTATCTTACATTCTCTATTCATGTTTATTCCTGGGCTCAATCGAAAAACATTTTTCAGTTTTCTTTAACAGAACTTCTCAAATTCTCAGATAGTATCTCTAACAAGCTATCCCATTTTAATCCCAGATCAACCTTATAACTCTAAATATTTATGACCACATGTGTATATGTATATCGTTTTTATCTAGCTACAAAATTGTTTTACTCTGTCATTTATCCACCATCTATACAGAAGAGAGTCCGAAGTTGCTGGCAATATTTTAAACTGAATTAATCTCTTAACACCCTTTTTGCCAGTTTTGAAGTGCCATTTATAGAACGTGTTTAAAACATTTTCTCTCAAATTTAATTATTTAATCCATCTATAATTATCATTCCACATTCAAATCCAATCACATGGCTAAATTATAGCCAAGATTTTGTACCCCTTCTGTCATCACTGCGTTCACCCTTTCCTTCTCTGAATATGCCAGTGATGGCGAACCTATGGCACGCGTGCCACAGCTGGCACACAGAGCCCTTTCTTTTGGCATGTGAGCCAAAGGTCGCTACTCCCCCCGACCTCCCACCCAACCCTGCACAGCCAAACCTCATGAAGCGGCTGCAGCTGGGATTCCCCCTTCCGCCGCCACCTCCAGGTCCATCAGCATGATTCGCCCTTGAACTGCCACTTCTGGTATAAATCCACAGCTTATCCACCTGGGTCTGGGTCCATCACCCGCTGTTCCCCCTCCCCCATTTTGGGCACGTGAGCCCAAAAAGGTTCGCCAGCACTGGTCTATGCCATACTATGAGCAATTTTGCCCAAGTGGGAATCTAAATGGTAGACAAGCATATGTAATTATGAATTTTAGAAAGGTCAATGAAGAATAATAATATCAGATGCTTTTGTTTCTATGGTACAGAGATTAAATATGAGTGAATTACTATACTGATTATATAGACAAGATTAGGTATATAATGTCTTTTTACATGCAAAAGTGGGGATCTCTGAGAAATGTATTGACCTGACTTAGAGCTTTTGTGTTTGTATGTGTGGATAAGTTACCTTAAAGATGAAATTAGGAATGCTTATGATGAGTTTTGGATAGAGGGGTATGCAGGTGAAAGAATTTATAGAGACTTTATAACAAGGCTATAAGTAATCAGAAATCCCTGGTCTATACATGGAGCTACGAAATACAACAAAAATTGGAAAGTTACTTGCTGAATGTCTTAAATGGTTGATAAGTACATATAATGCTTACATTAGTTTACATATCTTGATTATAATTGTTTAGAAGGTTTTGATGACAAGTCCGAAACATGAAGACACTAAGTAATATGTGAATCATAGTTGGTTTATGCAGTTAAGAATGGCTTGAATATAGGATCAATATAGGTCTAAGTTTATATATTAGACAATGTATATATGTTAATCATTATAAAGCTAGGAAGTTACGTTTTGATCCTAATAATGGCTTAAATATGTTTATTAGGGTAATATGGTTTATGTAGTCAGAATTATATATTAGATGGATATGGCCTAAATATATTTAGTAGGGTAATAGGGTCTATGTAGTCAGATTAATATGCTAGATGGATATATGGAAATTATCTCCCCGCATATATGTTTGTGTTTGTCTTGTATGTCTGTTTGTGTTATAATAATAAAAAAGAGAAAAAAAGAAATTAAAGCAGAAAAAATATGTCTTTGTAGAAGCAGCAAGAATTGTGTAGCTAGATTGTTCATTTTTTAAAACCTTTCCATGTGGTGATCACTGAAACAAAGAAAAAGCTAATTGCCTTGGAGAGAGAGAACAAAGGAGACAACAACAGTTGTTGGAACCAGCAGAGCCTCCCGGCAACGCTCCAAGGGCTCTTTTTATTGACTTAGCATGATTACACAGTATGTTATGAGAGAAACAGATAGGATAGTGGTTACCTAATCCTTAACTAGGATGGGCTAAAATAACTCTTTGATCTTATGCTCTAACTCTAAGCGAAATGGCAGAAGTAGGGGCTACCCCACCCCCTGGCTGCTGACGCATCCTGCCAGGAGTGTATGCATAAGAACCAGGCCACTCTGGGCGGCTAACAACAATATAAACAGCAATATTAAAACACGATAAAAATTAAAATAATACATAGCAACAAGATAAATTAAGACAGATGGCAATGGAAGTGGTAAAAGGGTGGTGAAAAAGATGGCAAAAAGGATGGTAAAAGGTTGATCGTTGCAACAAGGTCATCCAAACTAGCCATGTCACACTGGATGTTGACATGGCAAACATAGGAACTCTCCTCACAGAGCTGACAAAACTCTGAAACAACTGAAGATGCATTTGGAATGAAGTCAAATTGGTTACGTCAAACCTAAATATAGAAAGAAACCTCTTCCGTAGATGTGATGAAGTTGGGTGCAAGAGGGTAAAGGCACATGACTAAGAAGAAACGAATGACAAGAGATGGTACTCCAGAAAAGGGCTGCTTCGGGGAGTGTGTGTTTTATATTTTGGTAGTCAATGCTATAGCAGGATTAACTGTCCACTTCAATGCTGCTAGGCAGCTGGCAGAAGAATTTGGTTTCTGGTGGAAGTATCTCCCCATATCTGAAAGGGAAAGAGAGAAACGCTTTATCTTTATCAGAGCAATATCCATCTGACCTTAATTTTGATAATTTGGGGAGGAGGGGAAATCCAACATTTACGCTAGAGTACAGACTTGGTTACCTGTTTCCAAATGTTTTGTTTCCAAATGTTTGGGTGAGTTTAAGAATATTTGTAACAATTCCAGCAACAGTAGCTTCTGGAGTGTGGTCATTTAGCGAACATAAGCTAATTAAAAATTATTTAAGGTCTACCATGTCTCAGGAATGTCTTGTGGATTCGTCCAGCCTAAGTATTGAATCAAACATCACTGAAACACTTAATTTGCATTCAATTTTTTTGCACAAAACAATGCCAGGTAATAATAAGTTTGTCTACACTTTTTTTTACTAATACTTATGTCTTCTGATAATCTGATCTGCATAGCAATATAGAACTATGTTTCAGCATGAATTCTTTTTCTTTGTATGGTAACATGAAAAAGAATGTTCAAATTAAATGTGCTTTCTCATCTCTGATCCTCTTATTTTCTTTATATTCAGATGGATCACAGAGGGATAAATTCTGAGGGAGTATAAGATCATTAGGCCTTAAATGCAGAAAATAGAGAAGGGAGTGGCCCCAAAAGAAACTTCGTACCCCTTAATAAAATTCCTCTCAGAGGCCCTGAACCGAAATAAAGATTTTACAGCAGGTTATCTGAAACCTGTCATTCTTGTTTGTTATGGGGTAGAAAGGCTTGCACAAGACAACCTTGTAGACATCCAGAACTCAGAATCATGTGGGGAGGCTCCGTGTATACAGGAATGTCTCAGTATCAGATTTGTACCCCTCAGATAAGGAAAACAGTAGTTGTGCAATGGGTGGGGGAAGCACCCTCCCCCTCATATGTTTAGTTTACTTGTACTTAAAATGCCTAAAGGCACCATCAAGCCATCTCGAATCAAGCAGAACCACTTTGAAGGAGAATGCTAGAGTACCCAAAATGACATCATGACATTTTTCCTCTTTGGAAATAAACTGATATCTAGAAAAATTCATTTGGTTACAGATACAAGTTTTATTATTTTAGCTTATTTTATGCACTGAACAAGAATGAAGCAGGGACACTACTGTTTTCTTCCTAGAATGATGCCGTAGCGGCTTCCTTTCTTGTGCTGAACATCCTTGAAGCCAGCGGCAGTGAAGAGCGCCTTGTATTCAGATGGAGTCCGTTCTTTTCCCTCCGTGAAGACCAGCATCAGCAAGGAGTGTAGGTGGACTTCAAAAGGTCCACATCTGTCCTCATTGAGAAGCATTTCAATGACTAGCACTCCACCGCCTGTTTCAAAATATACATTTCACTGATTTAATCCAGAGGAAATAGTATTTCTGCAGTATTCTGAAGAGTGCAACTTGATTGTTCCAAAAAATCAGGGATTAGATGACCAAATAAAAGGGAATGTAGTTTAACCCAGTTGACACTGACCTACAATGAGGATCCCTCGTGCTGGTAAAATAGTATAGAGTGATAATTATGGATCAGATCTTCCAATATTTTGATGCTTAATAATTTTCACTCCTCTGCCTTTACTTGCTTTTTATGTCATTGGAGATGTGCTGCCTGTGAACCAGAATGGAACTACACATTTTACACA